ACTACCATGTAATCTAGTTTCTGAATCCAGATTGTCTGCTTTGAACAGAATTATATGAGTCTATGAGTCTATGCTGCCATATGGAGCCCCCGGTGGCGCAGTGGGTTAAAGCACTGAGCTGCTGAGCTTGTTGATCGAAAGGTCGTAGGTTCGATTCCGGGGAGCGGCGTGAGCTTCCGCTGTCAGCCCTAGCTTCTGCCAACCTAGCAGTTCGAAAACATGCAAATGTGAGTAGATCAATAGGTACTGTTCCGGCGGGAAGGTAACGGCGCTCCATGCAGTCATGCCGGCCACATGACCTTGGAGGTGTCTACAGACAACGCTGGCTCTTCGGCTTAGAAATGGAGATGAGCACCACACCCCAGAGTCAGACATGACTGGACTTAATGTCAGGGGACTACCTTTACCTTTACTATGCTGCCATATAAACCAGTCCGAAGCAGATAATTTGGCTTCAGAAACAGGATGATATGGCAGTGTAGATGGAGCCTCAAGGACTTAGGCGTTCCTTCTTGGGTGGATTGAACAATTCAGAAGGTTCAAAATGTATGTAAGAAACATCACAATTGGCTGCCTTGGAGCAAAATTGTTTTCTGCTGCTTTAGACACCAGGACCCAAAGCAATAGATTCAAATTACAGTCAAAGACATTCCAAATAAACATTGAGGAGGAATTTCTTAATGCTAACAGATATTTGACAGTGGAAGATACTGCCTCAGACTTTCCTCCTTTGGAAGTTTTAAAACAGAGATTAAAAGGCCACTTCACGGAGAAGCTTTAGAAGCTGATTCCCGCATGGCAGGGGTTTAGATTAAGTATCCCTTGCTGTCCTTTCCAATTCTATGATTCTAATTTTGGTACTTCTTCTCTTGTAATGTGTGGTGGGCTTTGCGGATGCTATCTATAACAGCAGATTATCTAAAAATAGCTGGTGGGAGTGGGAAGGAGTGCAGGTCATTTCTAGTTTCTCTTCTTCAGTAGTTCTAACTGGGGAATCTGTTTCAGAGGCTGGATCTACACTGCCATTTAATGCAGTTTGGAATTGCACTGTATGGTCAATGTAGAGCAATATAACACAGTCATTGAACTACCTTATATGTCTATGCTGTTCATATAATGCAGCTTGGAACTGCTTTATATGGCACTGTAGATCTAGCCTGAGGCATTCTGGAAAGGGGTGAATTGGATTTTGTATCAGCATTGTCTAGTGTAGCACTTCTCAACCTTCCTAACACCGCAGTCCCTTAATACAGTTCCTCATGTTGTGGTGACCCCCAACCATAAAATTATTTTCGTTGCTACTTCATAACTGTATTTTTGCTACTGTTATGAATTGTAATATAAATATCCGGATCTATTTTCATTCACTGGATCAAATTTGGCACAAATACCTGATACGCCCAAATTTGAATACTGATGGGGTTGGGAGGGGGATTGATATTGCCATTTGGGAGTTGTAGTTGCTGGGATTTACAGTTACTTACTTACTTAGGCGATCCCTCATTGGACGAGTAAGATAGTCTTCCATGATCAGTATTCTTGTGGTTCTGTGGGTGACTGTGGAGCCCTATTCTTGACCTGCATCTTCTCCCACAGTGAGGGCATTGGTTTCCAGGAGGAAGGCGTTCTCAGTTGGGGTTGGCATGACACACCTTACTCTTGGAAGGCGTTTCTCTCTTTCACCCTCCATTCGTGCCTCTTCAAATTCTGCAGCACTGCTGGTCACAGCTGACCTCCAGCTGGAGCGCTCAAGGGCCAGGGCTTCCCAGTTCTCAGTGTATATGCCAGAGTTTTTAAGGTTGGCTTTGAGCCCATCTTTAAATCTCTTTTCCTGTCCACCAACATTCCGTTTTCTGTTCTTGAGTTTGGAGTAGAGCAACTGCTTTGGGAGATGGTGGTCAGGCATCCGGACAATGTGGCCGGCCCAGCAGAGTTGATGGCAGAGGACCATCGCTTCAATGCTGGTGGTCTTTGCTTCTTCCAGCACGCTGACATTTGTCCGCTTGTCTTCCCAAGAGATTTGCAGGATTTTCCGGAGGCAGCACTGATGGAATCGTTCCAGGAGTTGCATGTGACGTCTGTAGACAGTCCACGTTTGCAGGCATATAGCAGGGTTTGGAAGGACAATAGCTTTATAAACAAGCACCTTGGTATCCCTACGGATGTCCCGGTCCTCAAACACTCTCTGCTTCATTCGGAAAAATGCTGCACTTGCAGAGCTCAGGTGGTGTTGTATTTCGGTGTCGATGCTGGCTTTGGTGACGTGGTGGCTGCCAAGGTAGCAGAAATGGTCAACATTTTTTAATGTTACACCATTAAGCTGTATCTCTGGCGTTGGAGAGGGATTGGTGTACTGGTAGTGGGTCTGTAGGTGACTGTGGAGCCCCATTCTTGATCTGCATCTTCTTCTGCAGTGAGGGCATCAGTTTCCAGGTGGAAGGCGGTCCCGGTCGGGGTTGGCTTGATGCTCCTTCCTCTTGGCACGTCTCTCTCTTTCACCCTCCATTCGTGCCTCTTCAAATTCTACAGCACTGCTGGTCACAGCTGACCTCCAGTTAGAGTGCTCAAGGGCCAGGGCTTCCCAGTTCTCAGTGTCTATGCCACAGTTTTTAAGGTTGGCTTTGAGCCCATCTTTAAATCTCTTTTCCTGCCCACCAACATTCCGTTTTGAGTTCGGAGTAGAGAAACTGCTTTGGGAGATGGTGGTCAGGCATCCAGTCCAGAGGAGTTGATGGTTGAGGACCATGGCTTTGATACTGCTTCTCTGCTTCTTCTAGCACGCTGACATTTGTCCGCTTCTCTTCCCAAGACACTGCATTCTATTGTGGAGAGATATTATACAACACATCACACAGGCTTTTTGCCAGGACTTGCGAGGCCTTATTTTTTGAAACTTTGTTGTTGTTCATTCGTTCAATCGTTTCCGACTCTTCGTGACTTCATGGACCAGTCCACGCCAGAGCTCCCTGTCGGTCGTCACCACCCCCAGCTCCTTCAAGGTCAATCCAGTCACTTCAAGGATACCATCCATCCATCTTGCCCTTGGTCCCCCTCTTCCTTTTTCCTTCCATTTTCCCCAGCATAATTGTCTTCTCTAAGCTTTCCTTTCTTCTCATGATGTGGCCAAAGTACTTCATCTTGGCCTCTACTATTCTTCCCTCCAATGAGCAGTCAGGCTTTATTTCTTGAAGTATGGACTGGTTGGATCTTCTCGCTGTCCAAGGCACTCTCAGAACTTTCCTCCACCACCACAGTTCAAAAGCATCTATCTTCCTTCGCTCAGCTCTCACATCCGTAGGTGACTATGGGGAATACCATTGCTTTAACTATGCGGATCTTCTTTGCCAGTGTGATGTCTCTACTCTTCACTATTTCATCAAGATTGGTCATTGCTCTCCTCCCAAGAAGTAAGCGTCTCCCGATTTCCTGGCTGCAGTCTGCATCTGCAGTAATCTTTGCACCTAAAAATACAAAGTCTGTCATGGCCTCCACATTTTCTCCCTCTATTTCCCAGTTGTCAATCATTCTTGTTGCCATAATCTTGGTTTTTTTTATGTTTAGCTGCAACCCAGCTTTTGCGCTTTTTTCTTTCACCTTGATTAGAAGGCTCCTCAGCTCCTCCTCGCTTTCGGCCATCAGAGTGGTGTCATCTGCATATCTAAGGTTGTTAATGTTTCTTCCAGCAATTTTCACCCCAGCCTTGCATTTGTCAAGCCCGCACATCGCATGATGTGTTCTGCATACAAGTTGAATAGGTTGGGTGAGAGTATGCAGCCTTGCCGTACACCTTTCCCAATCTTGAACCAGTCTGTTGTTCCATGGTCAGTTCTTACTCTTGCTTGTTGTTCATTCGTTCAGTCATCTCCGACTCTTTGTGACCTCATGGACCAGCCCACGCCAGAGCTCCCTGTCGGCCGTCACCACCCCCAGCTCCTTCAAGGTCAGTCCAGTCACTTCAAGGATGCCATCCATCCATCTTGCCCTTGGTCGGCCCCTCTTCCTTTTTCTCCACTTTCCCCAGCATAATTGTCTTCTCTAGGCTTTTCTGTCTCCTCATGATGTGGCCAAAGTACTTCAACTTTGTCTCTAGTATCCTTCCCTCCAGTGAGCAGCCGGGCTTTATTTCCTGGAGGATGGACTGGTTGGATCTTCTCGCAGTCCAAGGCACTCTCAGAACTTTCCTCCAACACCACAGTCAAAAGCATCTATCTTCCTTCGCTCAGCCTTCCCTAAGGTCCAGCTCACACATCCGTAGGTTACTACAGGGAATACCATGGCTTTGACTAGGCGGATCTTTGTTGCCAGTGTGATGTCTCTCTACTCTTTACTCTTGCTACTTGGTCCTTATACAGATTCCTCAGGACAGAGACAAGGTGGCTTGGTATGTCCATACGACCAAGAACTTGCCACAATTTATTATGATCCACACAGTCAAAGGCTTTGGAATAGTCAATGAAGCAGAAGTAGATGTTTTTCTGAAACTCCCTGCCTTTCTCCATTATCCACGGATATTGGCAATCTGGTCTCTCATTCCTCTGCCTTTTCTAAACCCAGCTTGTACATCTGCCAACTCTCTCTTCGTGTATTGCTGGAGTCTTGTGAAACTTAGTGCAGGCCAAAGCTCTCTCCTCGAGTCCCTAAGATAGAGACACATACGCCAGTGGTGTAACTAACTACAGCCTTTATGGGGAGGAAACAAACGTTCCTCAATTGCTCTGAACAGGCCATTGCGGCCTTGTTTACTTGAAGCGTGCTGAGCTAGGCCTTGGCCTTTCCACTCACGTATGTGTGTTGTGTAGAGATATATATATGGGCAGTGTTATTATGCCTTTCGGGAGGGGGGGGAGAGACGCCAAGGAGGGGACCTGAGGAGAGCGCCCCCCCGCAGCCTCTTCACAATGAGGCGTCCCAAAGACTGGGATGACATCAGTCGCTCGTCTCCAAAAAGGCGCGTCCCCATTGGCAGGGAAGGCTCCTTCCGCTAGCCAATCAGCGCAAGGGAAGGCATCAAGTCGGGCGGGCTGACGTGCGAGCTCCCGTCTCTCTCTCTCTCTCCGCCGTACGGGGGTTTATTTTGCTTTGGGACACTCCATCCGCCGCCGCCATTAGGTCCTCCTCCTCCTCCCCCTTTTGGCCAAAGTGGTACCGCCCTCCCTTCGACTTCCCACATCCTTTTGCCCTCCCAGAGCCGGAAGAAACCATGTCCTGAGCGCGCGCGGGAGGGAGGCTGGGGTGGGTGGGAGGCAGGCAGGCGGGCGGCTGGCGGAGGGGAATGGGCCGCAGCTGGTGCTTCTGAGGAGGCCGCCGCCGCCGCCGGATTAGAAGAACGGCCCTGGAAGGTAAAGTAGAGCTCTTCCCCTCCATTATGGGGTTGTTTGTGTTGGGGTCGGGATTAGGGAAAGAGGAGGAGGAGGAACAGCAGAATCTACCTTTCGGGACTTCGAAGCTTCCTGAGGGAGATGGACTTGGTGAGGCCTTCTTTCTTTGAAGGAGGAAAGCGGGGGGGGGGGGGGGTGTTTGCACTTTTGGGGGGAAAGGGGGGTTTGTGAAGGGCCTCCCTCTGCTTTCCTCTTCGCCATTTCAGTTTAATTTGGTTCCTTTTGGCCTCCTTTTTTTGTCAGGGTAAAGGATGCCTTAGAAAGGCCGCTCCTTTAGAAGAGCTGGACCCTGCCCTGTCCTCTTTCCTTCAAAACAACATTGTATTTCAAATAGGAGAAGTTCCTGGGCTGCCCCTTGTGAGAGTCGTGCCTCTATCTTTCCCCCTTTGAAAAACAGTCCTAGTTTGTTTAAACTAGGATTTTATCTTCTGAGAGTTGTACCTCTTTTCCTCTTTAAGAAACAGTCCCATTTTGTTTTAAATAAGAGATGTTCCTGGGCATTTATCTTGTGAGAGTTGTACTTCTTTCTGTCCTATCTCCTTCAAAACAACATTGTATTTCAAATTATTGGATGCTCCTAGGATTTTATCATGTGGGAGTTGTACCTCTTTCTTTTCCCCTTTAAGAAACAGCCCCATTTTGTTTAAAATAGATGTTCCTGGGCTTTTGTCTTCTGAGAGTTGTACCTTTAAAAAAACACTCATATTTTGTTTTAAATGGAAGTTCCTGGGCTGTCTCTTGTGGGATTTGTACCTTTTTCTTTTCCCCTTTAAGAAACAGTCCCATTTTGTTTAAAATAGGAGATGCTCCCAGGATTTTATTTGCTAAGACTTCTGTCTCTTTTTTCCCCCTTTAAAAAACAGTCCCATTTTGTTTTAAATAGAAGTTCTTAAATGTTATCTTGTGAGAGTTGTACCTCTTTCTTTCCCCTTTAAAAATAGTCCCTTTTTGTTTAAACTAGGAGATGCTCCTAGGATTTTATCTGCTAAGACTTCTGTCTCTTTTCCCCCCTTTAAAAAACAGTCCCGTTTTGTTTTAAATAAAAGTTCTTAAATGCTATCTTGTGAGAGTTGTACCTCTTTCTTTCCCCTTTAAAAAACAGACCCATTTTGTTTAAACTAGGAGATGCTCCTAGGATTTTATCTTGTGAGAGTTGTACCTCTTTCTTTAAAAAAAACACTCCGATTTTGTTTTAAATCGAAGTTCCTGGGCTTTATTTTGTGAGAGTTGTCCCTCTTTCTTTTCTCCTCTGAAAAACAGTCCCATTTGGTTTAAAATAGGAGAAGTTCCTGGGCTTTATCTTGTGGGAGTTTTATCTCTTTCTTTCTCCTGTCCTCTCTCCTTCAAAACAACATTGTATTTCAAATAGGAGATGCTCCTGGTATTTTATCTTGTGATCGTTGTACCTCTTTCTTGCCACCTTTAAAAACAGTCACATTTTGTTCAAATTGGGTCTGTTTTTTCTTCTTCTTCATTTCTGGGGTTTTTGTCCTTGAAAGGTTTTTGCTTGGGTGAGGAAAGGGATCTTTTCGAGAGAAAGGTGATTTTCTAAAACTTTTACGTTGTGGTGGTGGGGAGCTGAGCAAGAGGCCCTATCACCCCTGCCATGTAATGAAGTTTGGAACTGCATTGAGCTGTATTTTGTGAGTCTACACTCACCATATAATGCAGTTCCAAACTGCTTTTTCTGGCAGTGTCGATAAAGGCCAACTATTACAGGGAGGCTGTGCTTGTGTTTTGGATGTAATGACATCACCAGCCTAGTCCCTTGTGAGGATTTGGGATTTGGAGGCACCTGCCCTGGAGGGATGCTGCTGTTGCAACTGCCTTGTTGTTTACCAGGAAATGCAGCGCATGACGGTGGCTCAGCCAAGGGTTGGCTTTCTGAATTTTTAACAGTATTAATGCGTACCTGATGTTGTACTGAGTCACTTGCTGCCTCTCTCAGGCTTTCTGGAGGAAACCACGAAGTATTGCAACTCTTGTTTTGCTTGCCTTGATGTTGGTGCGACGGCATTTAAAAGATGCTGTGGTTTGCCTTGATGGCATCACTTCTGCATTCAACAAGGAAGGGGGGATTTGCTATAGTCAATGCTTGGTTATGGTCCACCCACTACATCCGTCAGCAATGTGTTGAATTCAGCTTGGCATATGCATCAGAGGGATGTTTCTGTGTGCATAGTTATCCACATTTAGTGCTGCAGTCCCTACATCTTACTACAGTGAGGTCATACCTCTTCCATCTTCCGCCCCTCCTCTTCCTCATTTATTCATAGATGATAACCTGTGTCTGACTCTCTCTCCCTCTGTTACAAATATGATGCAAACACTGCTTGTTTTAATGACTAGTAGTTAAATTATTCACCATTGCTTAAATAATGAAATCAACATCTAGTAATCCATATTAGTCTTTCACAGGAGTAGCTCTTTAGACTGTATGTTTCTTCAGTTTGAAAGAATTGTATACCCCCCAAACCTTGTATCTTGCAGTCCTCTTGTTGAATTTGCATGTGCTAGGGGATTTAATTAATAGACACATATCTTTTGTATTTTACTCCTTCTTCTGATCTTTAGTATATTACCCATACCACCACATAGTAGCATTGGTGAGATGAGAACAGAATACCTCCAAAGTCAGTCGAGTTTATGCCTTGCAGTTTTGTAATCACACATTTTTGGTATGACCAAGGGATTGTTTTCCAGCATGTCATGAGTAATGACACTATAACTGTTCATTCTTCTGATTGCATATTATTGCTTTCAGGGTCAAATATCTACCTACTTTTTTGCAATCATATCATGGTGCAATTGAAAACAAGTTACATCCCTTTAAATAACAGGATGCATTCTGCCCAGTCCTAACCATTTATGGATTTAGAACACAACCTTTATTACCAACCAAACATGGACACAAAGTCTCATCATTTATTTTCATTAGAATCAGTAAAGGTATGAATTCAAGCAGATTTGTTTCCTTTTGTTTTTCTGCTTCTTGATTCTGTTTGTGAACTTCTGTTTGATATTTGTATGCCCACTTAGATCAGTAAGACAATCATAACCACATTTTTCAAGTTATTTCAGTTTATTTCTGTTTGTTGAATTCTAAACCTTCTGCATGAATTTAAAAACAAAACTAGTTCGCTCTTGTTGAAACAGAAACCAGATAATGTAAGATCACAGTGAAAACATAAAATGCTACAAATAGTGAAATAAAAGAAATAAGCAGAAGAAATGAAACAAATTTTGTAGGAAAACACAAAACAACTTGCAGCCCACATTTAAGTCTTCCTTAAAGTGATGGTTGTTAATTTGACATCTGACAATGTTATCCTCTTTACAAATCTATGTTGCATTTCAATCATTTAACCACATCCTGAGCTTTTAATGATAAGAACTGGAACCCTAAATTATACTCAGAGGGGCAGCTTAAATGACATTAGACTGATAAATTGTAGAAGCAGCATTCTAGAAGCAACATCTGAGAACTGCCCCAGAAAAATGCTAAATACAACATTTAGATGTATAGAAAAGACAATTGTTGTCCATTATTTTTGTAAAGCAAGTTTAAGTAACCCCCATTTCCAAATTATTCTCCATTTTAAAATATAGAAAAATACAATAGCCCTATCCCTTTTTGTGGTGTCATTTTTTATGATTACAGTTACCCACAGTGAACTGTGATCTGAAAATATTCTATAGTGCCGCTGCCCCCACCCCCCACCCCCGCTTTATCCACACTTTCGCTTTCTATGGTTTATGTTTCCTGTGGTCAACCACCGAAAATATCACTGATATAGAGTTTGGTATCATCTGCGGTTCCAGCCATCCCTGGGTGGTCTTGGAACGTTATCCCTCTGGATAAGGGGGGGTCTACTGTAATGTACAAGATATATTAATAACTTGCTAAGTACTGCTAAAATAGTAATAAAAAGCTCTGTATTCCTTTGAAAAACTTTTGGAAAAGTTGCATGACAATATTATCTGACTAAAAAAGAAATATAGTTAATTTTTTAAATTGTCACTTGTGGGTTCTAATTACATAAGTTTTATATTAGGTGCTTTGTTGATTTTATTTGCATATAGAAGCCCACACTTCCATTATTTATAGCTCAGTTTCAAAACAATCTTTAATAGAAGTAGTGATGTCGACTCAGTTCATTCTCTTTGGTATTTAACTAGGCCTTCTGCTCATGTGAGAGTAGTGTTTACAGGGAGGGAGGAAGTGACCTCCTAGCAATTCAAGCTAGAGTGAAATAGCTGTGTTGGTATGTATTATTTCTGTTATGCTGGGATATCATTCTTTGTCCTTAGCTGTTTAATGAGAAGCGTCATTCTGTGTGACCTTAGACATTGCTAGTAGGTCACCATTGAGTATACTAGTGGAACTTGAAAAGCAGTCACCTTTTGAATCTTGTTAATGTTTCACATGGCAGCTGCTCAGCAGTGGGTGTAAAAGGAAAGGGAATAAATAAAAAAACCCTAGATGACTTTTTGAATTATTTATGGTATCATGTTGAATAGTACAGATTGACTTCTAATTGGCTGCAATGTGGTACTAGTTTTAATTTTAATGTTTGTCAGGTTGTCAATTTGGACAATTCCTTCTGCTATTCACTGCATTTTATTTGTACATGTAAAAATACGGTGGACTCAGTCATGTCTATTGACTTGGATAGTGAACTAGTCTCCTAGAAGTAAATTGTATAATCACTTGTATCGCAGGTGAGAAATTTGTTCATAGGTTATAGTGTCCAATAATGAATGGATTGCTTAAAAACCACAGAAACATTTTTATTAGTATAAAGTAGAGATCGTTTTACTTATCCTGATAATTTTAGTACCGAGATAATTTGAAATGCTTATATTCTTTGAGTAGATTTTAAAAAGCAGGTTGCTATATTTGTTTGGTAAATGAGTCAATGAATGCATGCTATTTATCAGAAGTGAGCAGTATTACAATA